GGGAGTATATGTTATGTGCTCATACCAACCATCAAAATATCAAAGCTTGATAACAAAGCAAGGGCTGGAATTCTGGTTGATTATAGCCTTCAATCCAAGGCATACATGGTTTTCATTCCAGAGTCAAGAAAGGTTGTGGTTTCAAGGGATGTAAAGGTTGATGAGAGGTTAGTGTGGAATTGGGAAGAGAAGAAAATTCAGGTTGATGCACGGCCACAGCAAAGAGAGCAAGTTGATAGGGCAGATTCTAAAACAGAAGAAGAAGTTTCAGTCAGAGGAACCAGACCTCTTACTGAGATTTATGGGAGATGCAATGTTGCAATGCTTGAACCAGCATCTTATCATGAAGCAACTAAGTCAAAGGAATGGAGGCTTGCTATGCAGGAGGAGTTGTCCATGATAGAAAAGAATGGAACATGGGAGCTTGTAGACAGGCCTATCGGGAGAAAAGTGATCCAGATAAAGTGGATATTCAAGAAAAAATAAAACCCTGTGGTTCAGTTTTGAAGCACAAAGCTAGGTTAGTGGTGAAAGGGTTTGCAAAACAACATGGTGTGGACTTTCAAGACACATTTGCCCCGGTTGCTAGACATGATACAATCAAGTTAGTCCTTGCTTTGGCAACTCAATTCAAGTGGAAAGTGTATCAAATGGATGTCAAGTCAACTTTCTTGAATGGTTGGCTGGATGAGGAGATCATTGTTGAACAACCTGAGGGACATGAAGTCAAGGGGAAATAGGACCAGGTGTACTTACTGAGAAAGGCCTGATATGGCCTAAAACAAGCTTCAAAAGCTTGGTATAGCAGAATCAATGACTACCTAGTCAGCCTAGGTTATGCAAGGAGCCCAAATGAGCATACTTTGTATGTGAAGAAAGCCAATGAAGATGTGATCATGGTTTGCTTGTATGTAGATGATTTGTTGGTGACAGGAAACAATGCTATTCAGGTTAAAGAGTTCAAGAAAGCAATTCACAAAGAGTTTGAGATGACTGATTTAGAAGAAATGACTTATTTCCTTGGAATGAAATCCATCAATCTCAAGATGGCATTTTCAATTATCAAAGGAGATATGCTAATGAGATGCTTAAGAAGTTTGGAATGGATGAATGCAAGTCGGTTGCCACACCTTTGGTGCAAAATCAAAGGTTGTGCAAAGATGATGGAGCAACCCTGGTGCATGAGACAGATTATAGGAGAATGATTGGGAGCTTGTTATATTTAATAGCAACAAGACCTGATCTCATATTTGCCACTAGTCTCCTATCAAGATTTATGAGTAAACCAAGTGAGGAGCATCTTAAAGCAGCCAAGAGAGTGCTCAGATTCATTAGAGGAACTGCAGATCATGGAATCTGAAAATTTTAGATTGATAGGCTATGCAGATAATGATTGGGGAGGCTCCTGTGATGACAAACGAAGCACATCAGGGTATGTTTTCCTACTGAATTATGGTGCCTTTTGTTGGTCTTCCAAGAAACAAGAAATAATGGCTCAATCCACTATAGAGGCTGAATACATATCAGCTGCTGCTGTAGTAAATCAAGCCATATGGTTGAGAAATTTGCTGGCTGATATGGAGGTAAAATAGTGTGAGCCTACTGAAATTTTGTGATAATCAATCGGCTGTTGCTATGGCAAAGAATCCAGTCATGCATGGTCGAACCAAGCACATAAAAATCAAGTTTCATGCAATGAGGGAGGCTGAGCAATCTAGGGAAATCAGATTGACACACTGCAGGGGGGAACTACAATTGGCTGACATATTTACTAAGTCCTTATGTAAGTCCAACTTTGATGACTTGAAGCTTAAACTTGGTGTCTCAAGCAAAAATATCAAGGAGAATTGTTCAAAGAAGTGATATTCTGCTTGAAACAATTTTTTGGATTATGCTAGAGCTGTGATCTGGCAGCAAAAGAGAAGAATTTGAAGTTTGGAAGCTGGTTTGGAGTAGTTCACGTAGCTGGTCTATAGGCATGTCGAAGTGATATATTTTGGTGAATTCAGCTTGCATTTGGTTACGAACTTTGTATCAATTTAATGTGATGTAATCAGGGTTGATAAGAATGTATGGTTAGGAAGTTATTGGGACTAAAACATGTTTGTGATTAGGTACAACAGTTGTCTGTATACTTATAAAAATCTACTGTATTTTTTTCTGCAATATATCAGAACTAATACAAGTTCTTCCTCTCTCTGGTTTTTCAATCTTTTTTTCTCTCCCGTATAACCAAATTACATGCTTAAATAACCAACATATACAACTCAATTAGATCTGTCAGGTTATCTAGAACCGATATTCAGTGAGGCATCTGACTATCTGAGACTAAAAGTTGATTCTAACTTGCAATTAATACAGAGTTCTAATCACAGACCGAGAGATAGAGAAGCAAGGAAAAAGAAGTAATCGATTGGTACTAGTGCCAGGTTCATTCTAGGGACACCTCAACCCAATGCTTCAACTGGGCACCATTCTTTACTCTCAAGGCTTCTCCATCACAATTGCTTGCACAATCCGAATTTAATTCCCCCAACCCTTCAAATCACCTTGATTTCAATTTCCTAACCATCTCGAATGCCTAGTATGATAACGACCTCTCCTCAGGGAATATACTAGCTTTAATTTTGCGTCTCAATGTCAATTGCAAAGCTCCTTTTCAACAATGTTTGGCTTTGTTGATGGAGAAACAAAATTCGGATGAAAAGAAAATCTCCTACATCATCTATGATGAACTCATGTATTTCTCTGAAGCAGTGGCTAATCAACTGAAGCTTTCGAGCATTATCTTGCGCACAGGTGGTATAACCGCCTTCATTTCTCGCTATGCCATTATCCCATAGGCAGAAGGTAACAATTTCTTGCAAGGTATGTGCCAAAGCCTACTTGCTTAAAATTTTTTAATGAAACTTTTGGTTTCAATTAAAAGACTTCACTTGAGATTATAATGCAAATAGTATCTAACACCACTTGAAATTACAGGTCTTGGATCCAAAGACATAGTGCCCGGATTTTATCCCCTCAGGTTAAAGGATCTACCTTTTTTGAAATTTGGGTCATTACACAAGTGGTGAAAGAGTTGCGCAATACTAGAAAGTCTTCAGCTATCATCTGTAACACAATAGACTTCCTTGAGCAATCATCACTGGCGAGGACCCTACAACAATGTCACCTTCGACTCTTCTCAGTTGGCCCTCTACACAAGTTCGCTCTAGCCTTATCAAGTATCTTGTTCGACGAAGATATCAACTAAATTAGATGGCTTGACAAGCAAACTAATGATAACACAATAATATACGTAAGCTTGGGGAGCATAACAAAGATTGATGAGAATGAGCTAGCTGAAATGGTGTGGGGCCTAGCCAATAGCAATCAACCTTTCTTATGGGTGGTTCGACCAGGCTCAGTGCGTGGTTCATAATGGATTTTCATTGAAGGTTTTGAAGAAGCTATCAGACAAAGAATGTGCATTGTGAAATAGGCACCCCAGAAGCAAGTGTTGGCCCATGCCAAGGTGGAAGGGTTTTGGAGCCACTGTGGATGGAACTCAACAATGGAAAGTATAAGTGAAGGTGTTCCAATCATCTGGAGACTAGAGGGTGAATGCAAGATATATAAGTAATTTGTGGAGAGTGATGTTGGAAATGGAGAATGAGTTGAATAGAAGGGAAGTAGAAAGAGTAGTGAGAAGACTAATGGTTGATAAAGAAGGATTGGAGATTAGGCAGAACGCCAAGGAATTGAAGGAGAAGATTCAACTTTGCGTTAGGGAAGGTGGCTCTTCTTACAATTCCTTGAATGAGTTAGTAAAATTCATCAAGCCACTTTGATTGTATTTGATTGTATATTTCAGTTTATGAAGTTCATCAATTTACAAGACATTGTCATGTCAATTTGTTTAGAATAATTAAAGATTTACCCATCGAGTAATATTATACTTATAAAAAAATCTTACAAAATTCTTTATACAAAGTGATATGGCAAAAAATGAATGAAAGAGTGAATATAATAAGTTTTACTTTTTGTTTTACTTTTTCATTTATTTTTTGCCAGCTCATTTTGTATGAAAATCTTTATAAAATTTCTTTATAAAAATAATATGGATCCGTTTAGTTTATTATTTCATACCCTATTCTTAAAATAACTATTTGTTTCATTATTTAGGAAATACTATTATATTTTATTCAATTATTTTTATACCCCTTAAGTTTATAAATTTAATTAAACACCCCCAGAAAAAAGTTTAAAATTTAACGAAAACACCCCACCCACCCATAGTTGCCAGATTCCAGCAACCACTGTCGGTGGTAGCCGGAATCTATCACAACGGCATACAAACGACTAGAACTAGCTGGTAATTCGCCGATCTGGCCGTCGCAAAGAAATGACTGTCGTTGACGGTCAACGACAATCATATCTTTGGTCGTCGCTAACAGCCAGATCTGGCCTTTTGTAGCTGGCCAAATCCCCCAAATCAACGCACGACCGGCCAATTCTGATCGGTCTACCTCGTAACGCCAGATTCCAACGGTGGTGGCCGGAATCTGACACTGTGGGTGGGTGGGGGTGTTTTTGTTATTTTACAAAAATTTTATATATTAGGGTATTTAGTTAAATTACAAACCTGGGGGGTTTTTTTGTTAATTTTTAAATTTTACCTCGTAATAATCACCCTACTCAACTACCCAATATTATTTATAAAATCCTATCCAAAATAACAAACCAAACAGACCTTATTGTTACCATTCGAGGTTTGGGTCATTAACGAAAGCTTAATTTTTTAGCCCATTTCAGAAGAAAGTCCAGAACTTTCTAGCGAGAAAGCCCGAGAGGCTTCATTAACTAAATAGAAGAGATTGCGCGCGAAAGTACCAGAATTTTCCATTTTTCTTATAAAATCCCCAACGCACTCTCGTTGTAGACCATCAGAGACCATTCTTCAAAGTTGAAGCATCAAACTCAACAATCAAATATCATACTTTCGCATTGTCAGAAACCATATGGCACTGATTCCGAGCTTCTTCGGCAACCAACGTAGCAGTATCATCGATCCCTTCTCTCTAGATGTTTGGGATCCATTTAAGGACTTTTCTTCACTCTCCACTCGTTTCCCTCAGGAAACCTCTGTTTTTGTCAATACCCGCATAGACTGGAGGGAAACCCCAGAGGCTCACGTGTTCAAGGCCGATCTTCCTGGGCTCAAGAAAGAAGAAGTGAAGGTGGAGATCGAAGATGACAGGGTGCTTCAAATTAGCGGAGAAAGGAATGTAGAGAAGGAAGACAAGAACGAGACGTGGCATCGTGTGGAACGTAGTAGTGGGAAGTTCTCCAGGAGGTTTCAGCTACCGAAGAATGTGAAGATGGATCAAATTAAGGCTTCTATGGAGAACGGAGTCCTTACTGTTACTGTTCCCAAGGTTGAGGTTAAGAAACCTGACGTCAAGGCCATTGAAATCTCTGGTTAAAACACAAATGTTCTGTTTAAGAACAATGTTGTGGATTGTCTATATGAAATTCATGTAAACGCAATGGAGTTTTGCTAATAAATAATAATGTATGTTAATTTTTCTTTTCTTTTCTGGTTTTAATTGTTGTTCTGGGAAAGCAAGTATAATAATTTTAAAAAAGGAGAAACAGTAAGGTCCTATCTTTTATCTTCTTGTTTGGTACTACTATCTACTTACATGCGATTTAAGTCTCCAGCAGTCCTTAGAGCTCCGCCTCTGAGCTTCTGTCAAACCCAATTTATGATCATTCCAGTCTCAGAACGAAAACTTGGACTAGCCATCTATTCATTCAAATCTTCTAGAGTTTTTATGTATCACTTGTATGATCCACTTAATTAAATTAATGTAAGTTACAAGAAGAGGGGAACAGTTGACAATTAATTACACGATCTGTCACGGCTTAGAATCAATATAGCAAAGTTCACTTTAAAAAAAAAAATTCAAAAATAATTTTGAGAATTTCTTATAATATAATTTTTGAATTGTGATTTAGTTAAACAAATTAAGATTTTAAAATATGGATTAATAAAATATATAAATATATACCTGTTTGATGAAACATGAGATATCACAGCAAACATGTTTGTGAAAGGTTAATTTACTATTAATTTTAGAAGTTAGAAAATACTATGAAAAGAGAGATTTTTGGAGGAAGCTCCATAGGTAAAGTGAACAAGAAATAAGATCTCTTTTTAATGTGAAATCTCTTGAGCATATTTTTTTTTTTTTTTTTTTTTTGGGTATGGTAATTGATGGTCACCCCTTGGCATTACTACAAGTTGAACATAAGACCCCTTGGCCTTTTGACTCCTTAATCCATTATTTACTCTAACAAGCCACAAGGGGTGGTTTGATCTAATGTTATCCTAAAGGAATATCCTGATTTTTCTACAATCTTGCCAAATTTCCTATATCAAGATCCTACAAATTTTTCAAGCTTATTGTGATCATAAATTATAGCTTAATATACTTCATTATTAAATAATGTGGGTTGACAGTAGAAGTGTGGGCTTTGGGGTTTACTGGGTCCATAATGAGAGAGACCAGTAAAACATTATGTACTGGCTAGGTCCCTTTTTCGAAACTAATTAATGTATGTTTTACCCATTTGAAAGCTGTCATTTTGAGTAGTTTTTAGAGAGGAAGACAGACAAGGATTCAACAAATCTCGCACAAATCATGGCTCAGACATGTATTCTTAAAACCTTAAATCTGTTAATTCATTGTTCTACTATCTATTTGTGATCTTGTAATCGTTTTGGATGTTGAATTTTCGCGTTTTCTAACAGTTTCTTCTTCAAGTACTAATATTGTTGTTCCATCTTATTGTAAGAAGGCTTCTCATTTTGGTGTATCGTTTTTTAAGTCTCCAAAAGGTTCTTGTTGTTGTAGTTCACAAATAAGTGTACCAATATTTCTAATAAAAATATCTTGTTATGCCATAGGCTTGGACACCCTTATATATATGATCAAACTCAAAAGCAGGTTGTTTCTAAACCGCACCCTTTTAGGTCTTTTGTGCATAGTATTTCATGTTGTATGTTCAACTTGTAAAATGTAAATATCAATCTTCTTTTCCTCTCTCTATTTGAATCAGTCTTCTCTGACCTGTGGGTAGATGCTCTCCAAAGAAGGTTATACATATTAATCTTCTCTAGTGATCTCTTGGGTTTATCGTTTGAAAATAAAAATGTGATCCAACTTTTGTCCAACCAAACAAGGGAATGGGTTTATTCCACCAAACCAAACACCCCCATAGTTCCCAACCTAATTTTCACGCAACTATGCTCAATCCGACAAAGACTTTAAGTCTTCAATTCTAACCAATTCACCTTTCTCTAAAAGATTGAATGTTTCTTAATTTTGAAGAGGTGGTGATGTGACTAATCTCCATTTCTAAACCATGAATTCAACCAGCAAACTTTTTTTTTTTTAAAGCCTCTATGTCCCACACTTGAAGGGGTAAGACTAATTTTCGATCGGGACTTGGGTAAATATCCCTAGCTATGAATTGCTTCTAGAGAGATTCAAACTCCTCACATTGTAGGTAAAATTCGTCCACTAAAAGTCCAATTGCTAGCTATAGTGTGTACATATATTCACGAAAATTATAGGATGCGAACGTTTTAAGATTTTTAACATGACAAACAAATATTAATGTATTGATCATTGGATTTTGATTTTGGCATTAAACAATGTTGGTTATTAATTATTATTAATGTTGCTTATTATCAACTTAGAAGTAGAATATATTTGGAGGCCAAATAAAAGCGACTTTTCTTTTGGCCCTAGCTTAAATTGACATATAGACTTTCTAGGTAAAGAGCCATACAAAAATAATTAATGGCAATTTATTTGCTTTTGTCACTTCAAAGAGTTCAATGAATTTGGGCCAGATATTTTGTCTACTTGTTGCAGAGTAAAAACTATCAAAGTGATATTCAAAGATTTGTATGGAGAAAATATATACCAATATCTTTTTTATTAAATATGAACTTGTAGAGAAAACATATGTGAAAAGTTTCAAAGTTTGGGAATAGGTGTTACAAAGGAACCTTCCAATGAGAATAAAATGTTTCTAAAAGAGATGGATACAGAATGTGTACCTTCTTCTGGCTTATGTAGCTCAATAAATTATAGTTGTGTTATGCCTAAAAAGTCAGGGCTGATGTGAGCTCACGCCAGCAAGGGCCAATCAGAGTTCAAGAAGGCTTTGTGCCGTTTAGACGTTGCCACATCACGCAAGAACGGAAGAGGTAAGGCTATCGTCAGTGTGGTAGGTGAATGCCAGGCTTGTGAGTGGTTAGGAATTATCCACCTATCCAAGCCCTACGCGATTTAAGGATGTCTCCCGTGCAGACAACCAATGGGAAGCTGGTTAGGAATTGTACCACACCTGCTCGACTGCAGAATCATGATTACTACCTTGAACCCCCAACTATAAATAGAAGGTTCCTCTCTCATTTACGGGATTGACTCATCTTTAGTCTTCAAAAGCATACACACACACACACACTCTNTACATATATTCACGAAAATTATAGGATGCGAACGTTTTAAGATTTTTAACATGACAAACAAATATTAATGTATTGATCATTGGATTTTGATTTTGGCATTAAACAATGTTGCTTATTAATTACTATCAATGTTGCTTATTATCAACTTGGAAGTAGAATATATTTGGAGGCCAGATAATAGCGACTTTTCTTTTGGCCCTAGCTTAAATTGACATATAGACTTTCTAGGTAAAGAGTCATACAACAATAATTGATGGCAATTTATCTGCTTTTGTCACTTCAAAGAGTTCAATGAATTTGGGCTAGATATTTTTTCTACTTGTTGCAGAATAAAAACTATCAAAGTGATATTCATAGATTTGTATGGAGAAAATATATACCAATATTTTTTTTATTAAATATGAACTTGTAGAGAAAACATATGTGAAAAGTTTCAAAGTTTGGGAATAGGTATTACAAAGGAACCTTCCAAGAGAATAAAAGGTTTCTAAAAGAGATGGATTTAGGATGTGTACCTTCTTCTGGCTTATGTAGCTCAATAAATTATGGTTGTGTTATGCCTAAAAAATCAGGGTTGATGTGAGCTCAAACTAGCAAGGGCCAATCAGAGTTTAAGAAGGCTTTGTGTCGTCTAGACGTTGCCACATCGCGTAAGAACGGAAGAGGTAAGGCTATCGTCAGTGTGGTAGGTGAATGTCAAGCTTGTGAGTGGTTAGGAATTATCCACCTATCCAAGCCCTATGCGATTTAAGGATGTCTCCCATGCAAACAACCAATGGGAAGCGGGTTAGGAATTGTACCACACCTGCTTGACTGCAGAATCATGATTACTACCTTGAACCCCCAACTATAAATAGAAGGCTCCTCTCTCATTTACAGGATTGACTCATCTTTAGTCTTCAGAAGCATACACTCTCTCTCTCTCTCTCTCTCTCTCTCTCTCTCTCTCTCTCTCTCTCTCTCTCTCTTAACTCAACTCGTTGTACGCGACTTGACTGTGACCATCTATTAATACAACTACAGTGGATGTAGGATTCGCTTTTTAACATCCGAACCACTTTAAAAACTGCTTCTCATTTATTCTTTCATTGCACATTTCCATATCACACGTAATTTCTAAGTCCGCTCAGCACTTTGCACGTATGAGTCGTTAGAGTCAAAATCAAGCATCAACAAGTTGTAATTTGTAGCCCGAGGATGTCTTTTATGCAATTGTCAGCAATGCAGACTCTGATGGTTATAATTTTTGTTTGCTTTCATGCCGTGCAATTTTTTATAGCTAGACAAGCAAACCTAGCTCCAAATTGGACCATTCTGTATTTAAATGTTATAAAACATTGAAGCACACATTAATTTATGCCTCCTATGGTTAAATAAGAGAAATCGATCTCTCATTGCAAGCCTCCGCATGCTGCTTTCTGTGATGAAATGCGGGTGCAAAATGCATATTCCTTTCAACTTTATTGAACTGTAGCTAGTTCTGATCAAAACTTCTCATATTTTATTACTAGTTTCTGCATATATAAACATATGTCAGCTGTGAACCATTTGGCCTGCGTTTAACATGCCACATAGGTCTTTCAAGGAGTTATATATACTTCAATATATTATGAGGAAGACCAGATAAGGATTCAACAAATCTCGCACACATCATGGCTCAGACATGTATTCCTAAAATCTTAAATCTGTTAATTCATTGTTCTACTATCCATGTGTGATCTTGTAATCGTTTTGGATGTTGAATTTTCGCGTTTTCTAACAGTTTCTTCTTCAAGTACAAATATTGTTGTTCCATCTTGTTGTAAGAAGGCTTCTCATTTTGGTGTACCGTTTTTTAAGTCTCCAAAAGGTTCTTGTTGTTGTAGTTCACAAATAAGTGTACCAATATTTCTAATAAAAATATCTTGTTATGCCATAGGCTTGGACACCCTTATATAT